GTCCGACACTCCCAACCTCATGGCACACCAGCGGCTATCCTTGAGCGAGGCACCACCTAACTAGCTTTTTCTTTTTATTGACATGACAAGAGAGGAAGAGACCGGTACTTAGAACTACACTGCACCCTGTATCTCGGGAACCGGGCACGAGCGTGGACCAAATACTTTTTTCTAACTACAAAATGCAACATTCCCTGGCTGGCCACTGGGCTCAGTCATGCGTCTGTGCCCCAAGCGACACAACTATGTTCTCCCCCGGGGCGGTGGGGGTGGGGGGGAGGAAGAGGTGAAGAGGTTCTCCAGGCCCAAGCGGGGGTGTGTCCCCTCGGACCCTGAGCACCAGTCAGAAGGGGTGGAGAGGGGCTCTGCCCGCTCTGTGGCTCAATGCCTCTAGTTCCCCTGGAGCACCTCAGGTCTCCTGCTTGCTGAGCAGCCCTCCCCACCCTCCAGACCCCACTGCCCCCCAGCGCTCCACAAGCTCCCCAAGACTTAGCTGCAGATCTGTCCCCTGGGGAGCAGACCTACCTGCTCCCATTCCTGGGAGTCAAGCGCCAGCAACTACAGTCCTTGCCCTCAGTCAGAAATGTACCACTGCTGGCACAGAGCCCGGACGGGCATGTCTCTGGATGATGGAGTCAGGGAGCGGAGCCCTGCCCCAACAGAGGTGGGAGGCCGACCTCTTGCACATGGAGGGAAGAGGGGACGGCTGCTTGGAAGGGCAGGCAGGCGCCTGCAGGCAGGAGTTGGTGCTTCCCCAGCATCTCACTCACAGACCAGCTTCTCCCCCCCCCCACTTCCGCCATGCAACAAGAGGCGAGAACAGTCTAAGGTACAGTCTCAGGCCTGGCACTGGGACCGAGGCACCTGCTGCCTTTCTCCACAGGATCCCAGAGATTTCTGATCTAAAGGGGACTTCAGCCAGAGGAGAGGCTTCAGCTAGGGCTCCGCCCACAGCCAAACCTTTTAAGAAGAATCCTGCTCCCTTCTGGGAGGTGATGGAGGCTGGCTCGGGCGCTGGCCCCCCCTGAAGCCAGCCCTCCGCCCTCAGCAGCACCCGCTTCTCCCCACTGGGTTCGGAGTGAGCCGAAGCTCAAGTGCAGCACATCAGTGCTAGGTCCAAGGCCTTAGGGGAGAGCCACGGGCGCGCCTCGGGAAGCAGAGACAAGGAAGTCCATGGGGCCCGAGCCTCACTCTAAGGAATGAATGGGCCTGCCTGAGTCCCATTTTATGCAGGAACTTTTCAGGGGACTAGGAGGACAAGAGTGGTTAGTTGAAAGGGAGCAAGTGTTCTCTGGGATGTCCTGATTAGGTGCCCTGGAAAGAAATTCAGAGGAAACGTGAGCTGCCCTAGTGACTGGCCATGGGCTTCTGGAGGACGGTGCCAACATCTCCCACCAGACCCAGGCGCCGCAGGTCGGCCTGAGCATGAAGAACAGACTGTTTTGGGGGTCTCCCCAGTGGTGTGGGGCCTGCGGTGCTGTTACACCCAGTAACACAGGCCTGACAAAGAAGCTAGCTTTGTGTTGAGGCCACATCTGACAATGCGTGGGGCTTACTCCTGATGATCCGCAGGGGTTAACTGATGGCATGGCTCAGGGAACATAAGAGGGGACAGGACTCAAGCCCAGGTTGGTCTTGTGCAAGGCATGGACCCTCCCTGCTGGACTGTTGCTCCGGCCCAGAGAACAGTCCCCGCTGCCCTGTTCACTTTTCCTGAACATCTCCAAAGTCTCACTGCCGAAGGCGATGCCTACAGTGACTGAGAAACAGCGCTCTTGGACATCCAGGTCATGAGGGATGGCTGAGCCTGGTGTGCTTTGCAGGGGTGTCCCGATGAAGCCCCCCCCCCCCCCGAGGCCAGTGCATCACCAGCGGGCCGCCGCCTACAGCTGTGGGCCACGGCCCGGGTGCAGCGGGCTCCAGTAACACCACCAGCTCCTGGGCAAGAACTACAGGAACACGAGCTGGAGAGTCGTCTGTCTTGTGGATTCACCACCGGCTCGTCCTCTCTCCTCCCCAGTGCTGTCTGCGGGAACTGTCTACTGTGTCGCTCTATGTCTGTGAACTGCAGGTGGGATCAGACTGAAGCTAGAATTAGCAATGGCAGCTAACTCCCATTTCTCTTGAAGCAAAAATTCATCATCGGGGTACAGGTATTTCTTTTCATTCTGAGTCAATGTTCAATGAAGCTGGGCCGAAAGAACACTTCAGAAATACCAGCATCGCAGGAAATGTGGCAAAACTCAGACTGTGATCATCACATCCTCGGTGTGAAAGAATAATGTGAATTCGGCTCTAGCTCAGCTGCTGGAGGAGCAGTTCAGGGGTGGAGGTGGACAAAAGCACAGCAAGGATACAACTGCCAGGTCAAGTACAGGCGTGCAGGGCTGGGGGGGGGGGGACGTGCAGGGGAAGGAGAGGAACCTGTTTCCTCCTAAGCGAGTCTAAGAGACCTACATGTTATCCCTAACATCGAAACAGAGCATTTTTTTTAAGCCATGAAAGAACCTGCAACCATTTACAAAACTGCTGTACCACAGGGGTGAGGTGGGTGCCCTGGAACTCCAGCAGGGTCCGAGACACTATGCAAGGTGCACCTCCAGGCCTCCTGCAGCCTCCTGGGGTGGGGGGTACCCCAGATTCCTCCATCCCTCCCATGACCTCAGCAGCAAGATACCCATGGGCTGTGGGGGCGGTGGGGCAGCAAATGCAGACACAGCCAAGGAAGCCTCCTTCCAGCCTGCCACACGTGGTGCGAACCAGCCAAGAGTCCCGCGGCCCCCGCCCCACTCTTATGCACGCACACCACCTGCGAATGCGTCCGAGAGCGCTACAAGAGCATGGTGGGGGCTTCCTCGGGGGCTCTAATGGGGGGGCTGAAAACAAATTCCCATTCACAAAACCTGTATCTTTGAGAACTGGGGCATCTCACGGACACTCTAGGAGCAACCAGGACGGAGAACACGTGGTTTCACGGTGGAGAAGAGAGGAAGTGGCGGGCATACTCCAGGCCGCCAGGGCCAGTGAGCTCCTCTGCAAGGAGGGTCGCTTGTGCTTTCCCTCGCTTCCCCTTGTTTTCTTGGGCGAGAGATAAAGGGAACAGCAACTAGGGGCCTCCGTCATGTGTCACAGCAGGACTGAGACTCCACACCAGTAAACAGCCCTGGCGCTCGTGGTGCCAGGCACTAACCTTGGACCCCGAGAAGTTCACTACAACAAAAACCAACATCAGCTTCAACAATGCTGGGCTTAGACAAAACCTCCTTGTGCCAGTCTTAAAGCACCCGCACAATCTCTCCGGCTCACTGCAGAGCAGGCTCCATTCATGCCACTGAAAGAGATGTCCTGGCATGGTTCACTCGTCTGACCCAAAGACGCCAACCACCACCCCGACTGGACTCTGCAGGGTAGCGGGCTGGTGGGTCAGCCCGGGGAAAGCCTTGCCAGGCCCTTAAAGACACACAGCTCGCAGACTTGCTTCCCCTGCGGTTCCTTCCTCAGGAGCACGGACTGTTTCCCTGCACACCGCTCTCATCCCTTTTCGTTTAGGTACTTTATTTGGGAGAAAGTGGCTTTTGGTTCCACTTTGCCTTTAGATGGGTTTATTTCCCTATATTTGGAAAGAGCCTTAAAATGCTCTAAATCAGGCAACACGCAGCAGCTGTCTGCCTTAAGTGAGACATGTGGATGGCAAGTTGGCACTGGGCTCCAGTCCCCTGCTCCCCCCTCCCTAGTCACGGGGACTTGACTCGGGGATATAGTCTTGCTCTCAGAGGAAGGGTGGGATCTGACGGGGACAGCCAGCACTGCTTTGGATCATGTTCCAGGACCGAGAGAGGAGAAGATGCAAACTGAGTGTATGACAGACTTCAAAGTTCCCCACCAAAATGCTGAACACTGTCTGGCAGGCCTACCAGAGAGAGCCATTTATTTCTTTTAGAGGGAGTGAAGAGCAAAACCTTTCCAAAATTCGAGTATTTATTAGAATTTTTAAATAAAGAGAACTACGATTTAAATGTCACATCTTGGCTATGGTTTGCCCCAGGCGATGCCACCGAGAGACACCGACAGGCTCCTGGCTTCAAGTCAGGGACCCCCACTGTCAGCCCCCTAAACGGACCCTGCCCCACAAGGCCCTTTTCTGCTTCCCAACTAAACAAGGCAATTGGCAAACGAAGCCGCAGGAAGCATCTAGCAAAACTAAGGCATTCTGCAGCGACCCAATGCATCGCGTAGCCATTCCAGTAATGACTGTGCCTTCTCCGAGCCCGCTCCTTGGCAGAAGCTGGGCCTTGCACTTCCGGGCAGGAGGCACGCTGAGTATTTCTGAGCATGCTCCGTGGTGCGATTACAAGTGGCTGTAACATCACAAAGACATGCGAACACCTGAATTTCCCTCCCATATACTTCTCAGGAACTTCATCTGGGTACCCAGGACAGGACGAGACTGAGCAGCTGCTCTTGCCAAGTGCCCTGGGGCACTCCTCAGCCCAGGGAACATCTCCAGATCTGTATAATATATAATCATGCATGCAGAAGGAGAGAGACCGGTGTCGGCAATAAATAGCATCGGGGGAAAAAGTCCCAAGAGGATAGAAACAGCGCTGGATGCTCCAGTTTTCAAAGACAGCCACCCCAAGAATCCAGTTCAAACCCCTATTCCAACATATATGGAGGAGTTCAATCTCTATCTGTTTCTCTGGATCTGGGCTGAGGTCATTAGCTTCTGACTTGGTAATAAAAAGAAAATAGGTTTCTTCCTGTTTCTTTATTGGCATGGAAACACAGCTTTAAGAAGAGAAGGCCATGAGTCCTGGGGGCATTATGAAGTGAGCTCAAGTCTTTCTCCACCCCAAATAATTACAACCGATGGTTGTGGTAAAGAGAAAGGACACAGAATAGCACCCCCCACCAAAAAAAATAAAAAGGGAGATTCATTATGAGCTGAGCTCTCAATTTCAGCAACACCCCTCTTAAAAAAAAAAGCAAACTTAAAAAAATTTAAATTCCTTCTCTGTCATTTATTTACATATTATATTCCAAGTATATAATGTGTAGATAAATGGATACTGCAGGGAAAGTCACCAACCTATTAGACAGTACATCATAGGAGAAATTCTTGAAAGGTTTCATCTGCTCTTGGTATCTCTGAATTAAAAAAAAAAATTAAAAATCAAAAAGAAATGTCTGTCTGGCTAGGTCTGGGATGATGCAAACAGGAACATCTCCGGATCCAAGGCAGAGGGAAGGCGCGGGGCTCCCCTCCCGAGAAGTGCAGGGGTGTGGAAGGGAGGGACAGATCATGCACAAAAGTACTTACAAATTACACACCCACCCCCCTCGGTAAAAAGAGAAGAAAAAGCCCCATCACTTAACACCAAACAGCTACATATCAATGAACCCTTTCTCTGCGGCCTGTCATGCCTTACTGAGAGAGGAGGCCGGGAGGAGGCGAGCGGGAGAGGGAAGGTCTGCACTTCAGTCTAGTTCCCCTCCCCTGACAGGAGTCCTCAGTCATCTGATGCCCGACATGGAGCTCTGGGAAGAGACCGCGTAGGTGGGCGCCACCACTGGGGTGCCGTTGTTGGCCGAGTAGCCTTGCCGCAACGTCTCAAAGTAGGACGCCTGCACGGGCTTGTGGTACTGCAGCACTTTCATGGCGTCTTCTATTTTAAACCATTCCCGCTTCCTTCCTGTGGAGGCAGAGAGAGCGGTCAGTGCGAAGGGAAGCCGGGACCTGTGGCCAGCTTCTGAGAAGATACAGAAGAAAACCGGAAAGCAATAATAGTTCCCAATTTTTTTTAAAGGACATTTCTGCTTTTTTTTTTCTTTTTTTAAGGGGGGGGGTCACACACAGCGATGCTTAGGGGTTACTTCTGGCTTTGCACTCAGGAATTACTCCTGGCAGTGCTTGGGGGACTATATGGGATGCTGGGAATTGAACCCGGGTTGCTGCAAGGCAAACACCCTACCCACTGTGCTATTGCTTCAGCCCCAATAGTTCCCAATTTTTAAAACTTATGTTACACATAGTTTTCCTTCCTTCTAAATGAAAGTAATATGACCACACCAAGTATTATACCTAATACAGAACAAAAGTTACGAAGTCTGAAAGCGCAAAAAGAACTAACAGCAACTGCGTGGAACTCTCCCAGACAGGACCATGGCAACAGTTTTCCCCTGAAGTACTGGGCCCCTGGGCCTTCTGTGGCCTTCCTGGGAGCACCCTAAACCTGGGAAGCACCTCTAGTTCCTGCTTTCACTTCTTGGAACTATAGCTGGTTCGTAATCAGCAGTTTATTTAAAAATTATTATTAATTTTTTGCTTTCTGGATCACACCCAGTCATGCACAGTGGTCATTCCTGGCTCTGCACTCAGGAATCACCTCTGGAAGTGCTCAGGAGACCATTTGGGCTGCTGGGAATAAAACCTAGGTCAGCCATGTGCAAGGCAAACGCCTTACCCGCTGTGTTTTCGCTCCAGCCCTTAAAAATTATTTTATGAGCCTATAAAATAGAAAAATATTGTTACCTATAAATAGCTATGAAACAAAAATCTACAAAATATATTCACAAAATACTGAAATATATCGGGGCTGGAGGGATGTACAAAAGGTAGGGTACTTGCCTGTCATAGGGTTGATATGGATTCAACCCCTCGCATCCTACATGGTCTCCCAAGCCCTGCCAAAAATGATCCCTGAGTGCAGAGTCAGGAGTAAGCCCTGAGCACAGCTGAGTGTGGCCCACTATCCAAAACAAACAAAATCCCCAAAATATGTATCCAGAGAACCTAAATATCTAGGTGCTAAGAGAGAGCACAGTGGGCAGGGAGTTTGCCTTGCACGTGGCCAACCCGGTTTCAACTCTTGGCATCCCATATGGTGCCCCAAGCACTGCCAAGAGTGATTCCTGAGGGGCTGGAGCGATAGCACAGCAGGTAGAGTGTTTGCCCTGCACACAGCTGACCTGGGTTTGATCCCCAGCATCCCATATGGACCCCCGAGCACCACTAGGCATGATTCCTGAGTGCAGAGCCAGGGGTAAGCCCTGAGCATCACCGAGTGTGACCTGACCCAAAAAGGAAAAAAAAAGTGCTTCCCGAGTGCAGAGTCAGGGGTAACCCCTAAGCACCACTGGGTATAGTTCCCGCCTCTGCAAAACCAACTAACCAGCCAACCAACCTAAATATTTATACAATAGAAAGTCCTGATTTTGTTTTTGGGCCCCCTCCCAGCCGTGTTTAGGAGTGATCTCTGGTGGTACTTGGGGGATTATGCTGTGTAGGGGATCAAACTAGGGTTGGTCATATGCAAGGCAAGTGCCTTAATGGAGGTTCTCTCTCTGGCCCCTAAATTTTTTTCCCTGGGTGGCATTTGGGTAAAAACCCAACAGTGTTCAGAGATCACTCCTAGCTCAGTAGTGATCATTCCAGGATCAAACCAAGGCTGGCTGCAGGTAAGACAAGTTCCTTTCTGCTGTACTATCTCTCTGGCCCGTAGGGAATTTTTTTTTGGGGGGTGGGGGGGGGGAGAGGAGGCAATACCTGGTGATGCTCAGGGTTATTCCTGGCTCTGTGCTCAGGAATTATTCCTGATGGTGCTCGGGGGACCAGATGCCATATGCCAGAGGTCACACCTGGGCTGGCCATGTACAAGGCAAGTGCCCTACCCACTGCAGTATCCTTCCGGCCCCCAACAAAGGTGTTTATCTGAACAACTCTAACTGGGATCATGTTTGGTAGTGCTGTGGTTAGGCGCAGAGGCCCTGAAGCTAAGGCGCTGAGCTCCACATCACTGCTCAGTTCCAGGCAAGTCATAGTACTCTGTCCCACAATCAACAGTACTGGCAGGGCAGGCCTGTGGCGAGTATTAATATGTGAAGTACTGGCATACAGCATAGCATATGCTTTTAGAGTCTGCTTTTCAATATTATTCTAGAGGAGGCTGGACAGAAAGTATGGCAGGTAAAGTGCTTGCCTTTCTCGTGGTTGACCCAGGTTAGATCTTTAACACCTCATATGGTACCCCTAGTTTTGTCAGGAGTGATTCTTGAGCACAAAACCAGGTGTAAGTCCCCAAACCAAAATAAATTTTAAAAAATTTTGGGGGGGGGAGGGTCACACCTGGCACTTACTCCTGGCTCTGTGCTCAGGGATCACTCCTGGTGGGCGTGGGGGACCATTTGGAATGCTGTAGATCAAACCAGGTCAGCCAGAGCTGGAGTGATAGTATAGAAAGTAGGACGTTTGCCTTGCACATGGCTCACCTGAGGTGTTTTTTTTTTTTTTAATCTAGGAGTACTGCTATTTATTCAGCCACTAGCTTAGTTGATTGAATTGGGCATGAACTCCACCTCACTTTTTTCCCCCCCTTTCTTTATCATTTTATTTACTGAATCACCATGAGAGCAGTTACAAAGCTTTTGGGTTTAAGTCTCGGTCATACAATGAAACACCCGTCCCTTCACCAATGCTCATTCTCCACCACCAAAAACCCCAGTATACCCCATCCCACACCTTCCCCCTACCTGTGGGGCAGATGATTTCCACATCACTCTCTCTCTACTTTGATTTAATATATATATATATAATATATAATATATATATATATATTTGCTTTTTGGGGTCACACCCGGCGATGCACAGGGGTTATTCCTGGCTCTGTACTCAGGAATTACCCCTGGCGGTGCTCAGGGGACCATATGGGATGTTGGAATCAAACCCAGGTTGTCCACATGCAAAGCAAACGCCCTACCCGCTGAGCTATCACTCCAGCTTTGACAGCAGACCCACCACTATTATTTGGGATTTTACCCCAACACTCAGATCTGCTGAAAAGGCAATACTAGACAATTTGCTTTCTATTGCTGGTTATGAATAACGTATGATGTCATGTGGCTGCAGTAGTGGCCGTGCGATTTTGGAATTTCGAAGTTTTAACAATTAAATCTGGAGGGATTTCTGCCAAAACCTTCTGGGTTCCAAGATTTGTTCCTGAGTCTCTGGGATCATGGCCATTAAGCAGCTTGATCAGGAGCCAAAGAGGTCATTCGTGGGAGTCTCGTTGCAGCTGGGAGGAAAGGGCCTGCTCCACCCCCATCCCGTGAGGCCCCACGTGTCTCGTAACTGAGGGCCCAAACCTGAGTGTCCAATGGCCTCTGGAGGATGGCGGCCATTGAGCCGCCTAATGGGAGCAAGCGGAGGGACAGCACCCTTTCACCCCTGGGGCAGCCCGGCGACAGTAACCTACTGCGGGTCTGGACGCATTTTTGCCAAAAGCCTCTGGGTTCCAAGATTTGTCTCTGAGTCTCTGGGATAATGGCCGTTAAGCAGCTTGATTCACCTAGGTTTGATCTCTGGCATCCCATATGGTTCCCCAAGCACCGCCAGGAGTAATTCCTGAGAGCAGAGCCAGGAGTAACCCCTGAGCATTATTGGGTATGGCCCCCCAAAAAACAACAAAACCGGGTCAGTCGCATGCAAGGCAAATGCCCTACCTGCTGTATTTTCTCTTCAGTCACCAAATAAAATATTATAACATATTCAATATTACTAAGTGGTGCTCAGGGACTTGGGATCCACACCTGGCATGCTCAGCCACCCGTCAGATGGCCTGGGCAGTTCAACCTGGGCCACATGACGCTACGCTGCTTGGGGCATGTGGTGCTGGGCACTACAGGACTGGGGGCACACTGGCAGGCCTTGAGGGTCATGGGCCATGCACTGCCAGGGATCAAACAAGGGTGAGTTCCTGACCCCTGTGCCATCTTCCCAGTTCCTATCACTGCTACTATTGCTTTTTCAGTTTTGGTTTTTGGGTCACACTCAGCAATGCTTAGGGGTTGCTCCTGGCTCTGCACTCAGGGACCAGTCCTGGCAGGGTTTGGAGACTATATGGAATGCCAGGGATCAAACCCGGTCTGCCATGTGCAAGGAAAATGCCCTACTCACTGTACTATTTCTCTGGCCCATGGCCTATCCAAATCTATAGATAAAAATCAACTTTATTTTTGTTTTCATTTCAGATTACTAAAGTAGCTCTAAATAATGTACATTTTTGGCCTCCTTAAGAAGTGCTTAGGAGGCCTGGGCGCTCCACTGACAGTTCTTTAAAATAGTAAACAGGGGACGGAGCAATAGCACAGTGGGTAGGGAATTTGCCTTGCACGTGGCTGAAAGGGTTTGAACCCCAGCATCCCATATGGTCCCCCGAGCACCGCTAGGAGTAATTCCTGAGAGCAGAGCCAGGAGTAACCCTTGAGCATCGCCGGGTGTGACCCAAAAAGCAAAAAAAAAAAACAACCAACCAAACAAAAAAGCCTCAAAACAAATAAAATCTTTTTCTCCCTTTGTTTTTTTTTCTTTGGGGGGGGGGGGGCGGTGCGGCACACTGGCTGTGCTCAGGAAGCTGTATCAGGGGCTGGGAATTGAACACATGTCAGTAGCATGTACGAAAAATGCTTGACTGGCTGTACTATTGCTCTGGCCCCCACTGACAATTCTTGGCCAGCCAGGCGGGGTTTGAATGCAAGGGCATGAGGATGCGATATTGGGTTCTGAAGAGCCAGGATACTGGGGGTCACCTGGGCAGTGCTGGTAAGTTCAGGGCCATACCTGTAGTGCTCCGGTGACCGGGTGGGCTAAGAAGCAAACCCAGATTGGGCCTGCTCGACTATCTCCTCTGGCCCCCAGTGTATTATTTTCTATCTTTCTTTCTAAATTAAACAATGCTGGCCAGAGCCACAGTACAGCAGGTAGGTTGCTTGCCTCCGTGAGGCTGGTCCAGGATCGATTCCTGGCCCCCCATGTGTTCCCCAAGCACATCAGGAGTGATCCTGGAGCACAGAGTCAGGACTAAGTCCAGAGCACTGCAAGGTGTGGCCCCGAAACAACAAAACAAAGCTGGGTATTACCTGAAGGGGAATATGAACTTCAACAGAAATGACCCCCACTACTCTGCATTCATCAAACACTGTAGAGAGAGGGGCTCTTACCACTAAGCCAACAATTAGTGTTACAGGGAACAACCAAGGTCCTACTCTGACAAGTCCCCATGGCCAGAAGTGGGAGTGGCATTGTGGAGGCCCTTGGTCAGAATCCACTGACAAGAATCTAATTGACTTTAGAAACATTTTTTTTCACTTTCTAGGGGGATGTGTGTGTCAAGGGCTGCTCCTGGCTCAATGCTAGGGGCGGGGGTCACTTGGGGAGACCATGAAGCGGTGGGATAAAATGTGGGGTTCTAGCACATGCTTCAGTCTTTTCAGGTTTTTGTCTGTTTTTGCTTGACACCTGGCAACGCTCAGGTTACTCTTGGCTCTGCCTTCAGGAATTACTCCTGGCGGTGCTTGAGGGACCATGTGGGATGTGGGGGATAAACTCATCAGCTGTATGCAAGGCAAATGCTCTACCTTTTTCCTAATGCTCGGGTCCCTTGAGTTATTTCTTAGCCCACCGCTTCTTACATTTTGTTTTTTGGTCCTGGCTCTGCTCAGAGATCAGTCCTGGCTGTGCGCAGGAAACCGTATGAGGTGCTGGGGATCAACCTGGGTCATCTGTGTGCTAGGCCCTACTTGCTGTTACTTATTACTTGCCACTCTCGCTCTGGTCCCTGTATCTCACTTCTGTTATGTCACCCACATATTCAACCTCAGCTTCCTTTCAAACATTTCTGACTACAAACTCACATGAGTTCAAAAAAGAACATGAGGGGGTGAGCTAGAGTGACAGTCCGGTGGATCGGCGTTTACCTTGCACACAGCCAACCTGGGTTTGATCCCTAGCATCCCGTATGGTCCCCCTGAGCACTGCCAGAAGTAACTGATTTCTGAACGTAGAGCCAGGAATAATCCCTGAGTATCGCCGGGTGACCAAAAAAAGCTCCCCCCCTCCCAAAAAAAAAGAATACGAGGGGATTGCGCAAGGTTCATAGGCCCAGAGCATGTGCTCTGCTTGCAGGAGCCCTGGGACCATGTGTGACTGTTAATAAACACATACTCTCCTAACTTCTCTGAGGGGCCATGTCAAGTGGTGCTGGGGGATCATACAGTTTTGGGGATCAAACCTGGGGTTTCCACATGCAAGGCATGGTCTCCAGCCCTCTAGGCCATCTCCCTGGCCTTCACACCCTTGTCATTTATTCTCTGTCAGGTCCTTTCTGGTTCCAGGTAAGGGCGTGAGCTGCGGGTCGCAGTGCTGGCTGGTGGTTCTTTGGGCCGGAGAGGACTTACCAATGTTGACCGAGTCCTCCCAGTCTTCCAGCACTTCTGTGACAATGAGCACATACACATATGTCCTGTGCTTTCTCTCCTGGTTCTGAAGGGCAGAGAGAGGACAGAGGAAGTTCCCTTAGAGAGCTGAGACTGAAATGAAGCAAACTTTTACAGACATCTCTGGAGAGCTCAGACATAAGGATTCACTTTTGTTTCTTTTCACTTGTCCTATAATCATACACAAAATAGTGCAGATGGCTTCTCTACCAGTGGCTGCCCTTAAGCCTGAAAGATGTGTTCAGAGGCCAAGCTTCCAAAGCCAAGCTTTTCTTTATTCTTTGTTGGTTCTGCTTTGTTTTGAAACTCAGGGAAACGATGGCTTCCTTCCTAGAGTGAACTTGGGATAAATGGAATCTTCACTCCCCCAAAGTGCTTATGTTGAAACCCAGACCCCTCGGAGGTGACCATTTGGGAGGTGATTAGGTGGTAAGGGCAGACCCGGTGAACAGTATGAGCTGTATAACAGGAACAGCTGCTTGGAACCAGCAGTGGGGTCGTCACAGGCATGATACACCTTCATCCTGTTCTGCTTTCAGAACTGTGAGAAACCCGTCTTTGCTTCCTGTATATCACTCAGTTGGTGACTTTGTCATCGAGCCCTAAATGAACTAACACAACCACGTGTATGGTTTATTATTTTTTTTAAAATAATTTTTAATTTAATCTGTTTTGGGGCGACACCAGTGGTGCCTGGGGACTGTTACTGGCGCAGTGCCCAGAGTTGCTCCTGGTGGTACTCTGGGGACTGTAGAGAACCCGGGCTCCTGTGTGCAATGCCTGCACCCTGCCTTTTGAATTGCCTCTCAGGCCCTGTATGTTGTTTTAATTTAATTTTGGTTTTGGGCCATACTTGTCAGTGCTTAGAGATCATTCCTGAGGGTGCCGGGAGTTGTCTGCATGCAAGACAAACACCTAAACCCTTGATTTCTCTGGTCCCTCTACATGGTTCTTAAGATGACACAACTGTACCAAAGATTTTAACAAACTTACCTCAAAAATTCCAACTAATCTTCCCAGTGTCCCTTTCACTCCAGCCTGAAAAGTGAAAAAACAAATTAATGTTGATAACTGTTTCTATTGTTGGTCCCGTTTTTCAATAATTTTGAGCATTTTGTGGAACAGAAATAAAAGTCAAGAGGACAGCCAGGTGTGCGGGAGTCACACAGTGCTCCTGAGCACCAGACACTGGGCAGTCTTCAGCGTACAAGGCATGAGCTATCTGTGACAGGAGAGGACGACAGGAAAACTCCAAGGCATGCACAGAAACATATCTCTGGACTAAAAACTTTATTTTTTGTTTTTGTACACAGCTGTGTGCCCCTGTGTACTCCTAGCTCTGTGTTTAGGGATCACCCCTAGTGGTGCTCAGGGATCACATGAGGTTCTGGGGATTCAAACTGTGGTCAGCAGGATACAGGCAAGTGCCTTAACCCCTACACTGTATCTCTCTAGAATGTAACGATGTTTGGGCTACATTAGTCATGCTCAAGGACTGGGCCTGGAACAGTACTTGAGGGACCACATGGTACCAGGGATCAAACCCAGGCTTCCCACATGCAAAACATGCAGTTTAGGACTTTCGTTTCCCTGGCCACCTTACAAGTTTATTTTTGGCTTCCTGGGTCACCTCAGTGGTTACTCCTAGCTCTGCACTTAGCAATCCCTCCCGGCAGTGCTTGGCGGACCATTTGGGATGCGGGGATTGAACCTGGGTTGATTGCTCCAAGACAAATGCCCTACCCGCTGTACTACTGCTCAAGCCCACAAGATTTTCTTTTGTACTTTAAAAATTTTAGGCAGTGTGGTTGGTAGCACTGTTAATGACAGGGCTTCATGTACGGGATACTCCACCCTCCCCAGTGCTCGGTTCCTTTCCTCTGCCACTGTCTCAGGGCAACCCTCTGCAAAGCCCCCACCCACCACGGTGAGTTCAGTTCTGTATAGCAGTTCTCAGCTACCAGTGGCCATGTTTTATTGTCTGTTGACTGTATTTCATAGATACTGCAGTTTTTACAAATCAAAGATTTGTGGCAACCAAGTACTAAATACATATATTGATACATTTAAAATTTTGTATCATTTTTATAGGAACCACAGTCTTACAATAGAGACGTTACTGGGCCCGCTCAAGCAACTTGATAAACGATGGTAGGACATGCTACGGTGCCACAGGAGCCACAGCTGCCAACTCCCAGGGCCCCATGGCACTGATTGAAATGAAGGTTCACAGGTTATACCGATGTTCACTTACAGTCTGTGTATATTATATATTGCTAATTACTGCAATATTCCAAATTTTCCCATAGTTCTGACATCTGTCACGGTGAACTGTGATCATTATACATTAGTAACAACAGTTACTATTGTAACCTTCCAGCAGCAAAAAAGATCAGAACTTACTTAAGGCTCAGATACTGTCACTGTCCTCCCACTGTTCATCACTGTTCATTGATTTGCTCCAGCGAGTCCAGTAACATTTTGAGATTTGTTACTGTGTTTGACATATCGAATAGCCAGGTTTTGCCGTGTGGGCGAGATACTCTCGGTAGCTTGCCAGGCTCTCCGAGAGGGGCGGAGGAATCGAACTTGGGTTGGCCATGTTGGCTGTGTGCAAGGCAACCGCCCCACCCGCTGTGCTATCACTCCAGCCCAAGACTCAGATACATACTGGCTAAATTTTTAGCAAGTATTAACAAGGAAATTTAGCAGTTTTCATAGGAGGGGGCTCCTTTTTGATAAGGAAGAGGATTTCAGCTGTTCAAAGTCACAGTGTGAACAGATAATGCTCGAGAGTCCTCACAGGTCAAGGTCCTCACTGTTAACCATTTTACTTTCTTTACAGTTTTCCCCTGTGCAGAGTCCAGCTTTCACTGCCGGGCTCTTTCTCAAATGCTGCCACAAGCAGGAAGAGAGGAGCTATTTTCATCTGTCACATGGTTTGTGCATGCAGGTCAGGGTAGGCGACAGGGTTACAGCTGACACATACTTGGCTCAGGTATCTGGGGCTAAGATTGGATTCACCTAGTCAGGGTGCAGCAACGGACCCAGTTTTTTCAAAATCTGTTACAACTTCATTTCCGGGGACTGGGGAGGGCTGGGCATTTGGCTGTATCTTGCGGTGTTTAATGCTTATTCCTGGCTGTGTTTAGGGGGTCACCTGGAGGTGCATGGGGGACCATTCATGGTGCAAGGGGCTAAGACATGTGCAAGGCAAGTGTCTTAGCCCCTGTCCCTTGTGTTTTTCATCTATATTCTATTTTGTCTGATATTATGGTTATCATCCCAGCATTTTTCTTTTGATTATGGGGCACACCCAGAGGTGCTGAAGGGTTATGTGCTCAGGACTGATCTCTGGTAATGCTTGGGGGACCATATCCAGAGATAGGCACCCATGTACTCTTTTCTCCAACCCTGCAGTATTTTTTTCCAAAGCAAGGGACTGAACTCCAGGTTTCAAGGTTTCATCCAAGTGCAGTAAGCACCCTATGACTGAGACATATTCTTAGTCTCAAGTTTTCTTTTGGTTAGTATTTGCTTGATGAAGGTTTGACTAAGAACAATCAAGTTACATTTAATGCACTTTTTTCTTCCCTCTTTGGGACATACCCAGTGATGGTCAGGGGTTATTCCTGGCTCTGCACTCAATAATTACTCCTGGCGGTGCTCGGGGGACCAAATGGGATGTCGGGGATCGAACCCAGGTCGGTCACGTGAGAGGCAAACGCCCTACCCACTGTGCTATTGCTCCAGTCCCTTACTGCACTTTAACCTAGAAACTTGACTTTAAATTATGGGATCGCTTCAATATAAGTCAGAATTAAGGCCCTTAAATTTACATGCTATATAGGAAGTGTTGTGCTGAGCAGTTCACTAAATGAAGAGAAAGTGGCCATATGGCACCTTTACCAGGTAAATTAGACTTATCCATACCCAGAGGTTACTGGAAGTTGAAAGACTAAAGGAGTACTGTTGCTGAAACCACTGTGGATTATATGGGAATCAAATGGGAAGTGAGTTCTGGATATACTTCCTAAATGACTAAAGATTCTTTCCTGGAATGTGGAGCTGGATGGGAAAGCAAATACAACTGTTTGGAAGAGTCATCTGGGCTCAATTCATTTCGCAGAAGGCTACTGGCTCCTGTCCCAGTAATTTGGTCTCTATTCAGGGCTCCAACACACCAGCTCAAATACAATACTGTGTTCTGTGCGACAGATTCTTATCTCTACACCAAGTTACTGATTTAACTATTCAGCAGTGGGGAGTATTCAAGTAAGTGTGATAACAGGCAGATAAATTGAGTAAGTAGATTTTTTAAAAAATCCAGCTTGTAAAAAAATGGCTGAAAGAAAATGTAAGAGTAGAGGGTGAAGAATGAAGTTCGGGGTGGGCGGGGTTTGAGGTGGGGGGGGAGGTGCACTGGGATCATTGGTGGTGAAGAATGGGCACTGGTGGAAGGATGGGTACTGAGCATTGTATGACTGAAACATAACCACCAAAGTTTGTAAGTCTGTAACTGCACCTCAAGGAGATCCATTACAAAACATTAAAAAATAAAAATAAGAAAATTAACTTTAGGTATCAAGAAAATCATTAAATATAAAAAAAAGAATGAAGCTCAGTTGACTTCATATATGAAGATCTGGGTCTGATCTGTACCACAAACACACATAAACACAGAACTATTATTTGTACAAGGGTCAGGACTGAGCTGAGTAGCAGAAGTCCCTAGTTTTCTAGTAGTTTGGATCCGCAGCGCTGTTGCATGTGACAAGTAAGGTCTTGAAGTTCTAATGGCACAAATGAAATCTGTCTGCTCTGCAGCCAGGTATGAACACTGCAACGAAGTGAGCACAACGAAGGAGCAGAACTCCTGATGAGCACCATGGCTCAGTGTATGAGCACCACAACCAAGCATAGGTGCGACCCCAGGTCACTGCTACAACATCAAAGAGGGAAAGGAAGTGGGTGGTGGGAAGAAGAGGAGGAAGGGGAGGAGGAAAAGAAAAGAAAAAAACCAGTATCGTAGTAAAAGAATATTGATGACCTTGGGGCTGGGGAGAGTGCAGGGCTAGAGTACGTGCGAGTATATGCCAGGCTCAAGTCTGATCCCTGACACCACATGCACTCACCATGTGTTCTGTAACGCAACACGGTTGCTGCAGACCCGGGAGCCCAGGCTCCCCCCAAAGGGACACATAACCTTTACATGAGGCTCTCCTGATTAAATTGGCTTTTTTGGGGGGAGGGGACACATCTAGCCATGTGCAGGACTTTTTCTTGGCTCTGGGCTACGGGGTCACTCCCCGTAAGGCAAAGGGGACCAGATGGGATGTCAAGGATCAAGGTCAGCTGCATCAAAGGCAAGCGCTATATTCCAGTCCCAAGTGGTCTCTTTTTAAAAAAAAAAAGCTGTTAGTGTTTATATCTACAGATTACACACAGATTTATATCACATATGCTTATATTACGCAGATATTCCAGTGTATTGTAGATGACTGAACTGACAACAATGTGATTATCTGCAAGAGTCTTTAGGCTCTAAACTTACCCACTGAAAGCAAGATACTTCTGTTTGGTAGCTTAGATGACTAGCTTAGATAACAAAAATATTTATAGAACAACGTCAGAGTCAAAAGAACGGAGGTAAAATTCTAAAAAGTATAATTGAAACAAAAAAAATGTAGAGGTAGAGACTGACTTAGGCATAGTATTCTCTTCTTCCTGAAGTTCTATTAAAATGGAAGAATTGAACTGGCTATTGGAAGACAAGCCCAAAAAAAAAACCTCTCCCCTAAGAATATGTAAATGAGGGTGGAAAGATCAAGAAAAACTCCTTAGCTTTTGCTCTGGAGGTCAGCTAAGCTTGCAGACTCTGTCTGAAAGGGATCCAGGACGGGACATAAAGGGAGACCCAGAAAGATATCTGACAAAATGTAACACCTACTTATGATAAAAACTCAATAAACTAGAAATGTCTTCAACTTGACAAAGAATTTCTTTCCCCACTCCCATCCCTGCAACTATTGTCATAC